TGTCATGGCACACCACTGTATTTTTGAATAAGAAAATACTATATTATTTTTATGATTATGCTTATTCAGTCTTAAAATGAATTGTCATTATAATACAGGGGGGTGCAAAAGTAGGTATATATAATCTGAGAAATACAGATGTTTGGAGTTCATTATTATTCATTATTATTATTATTTTTATTATCTTTTACAGTAATTAGTTCATATTCCTTATTTGTGATTTAATTTTTACATAAAAATAAATGTTTTTTCTTCGTATTTTCTCCCTGTGTGTTTTTTTTCTCATAATAACAAGTATTTACCTACTTTTGCACCCCCTGTAGGTAAGCCTGATAAAATCTATGTAAATGTGATTTAATACAAATAACCAACAATTCAAAATTGATCAAAATTTTTGCCAAATTGATATATTATCAGGTTGGCTAATAACTCCATGTGGTTTTTAATATGTAAAAATCTTTTTTTTCAGAGAAAGCAATAAATTTATTCAATAATGTACAGGCCATTTTTGATTTACAATCTTTTGCCATATTTTGGACAGCTTCTTTGCAAAAAACTATTCCAAGTTCTGTTTAATGTCTTCCCTTGAAACAAAGCGCTGTCCATTTAAAAAACTTTGAAGGGAACAAAACAAGTGGTAATCAGAAAGCCAATATCTGGTGAATAAGGAGGATTTTACACGACTTCTCAGCCAGCTCCAATAATTTTTGTCACATTTGCAAAAATGAGTGAGATCTGGCATTGTCATGATGGAAGACAATGCATTCCTGGTTTCTGAACACTTGTGAATAGTTGCAATCAACTTGGTCAGTTGGCCACAGTACACACACAAATTGACTGTTCTGATCTTTGGAAGCAGCTCATAAAACACAACACCTTCCAGTCCCACCAAATTGAAAGCATGATTTTGTTTGGGTAAAGCTCTGCCTTTGAAGTGGTTTGCCATGCAGTCCTCATGATCATTTGTGCTCGACATTATTGTATATGATTCAGTTTTCATTGCCTGTTTCACCCACTTTAGAAATGGATCCCTTTTCTTGTGTTTTCTTAGTAATTCACTGATGGAAATGCATTCTAGGCAATTTGTTTCAAACAGTTCATGTCAAACATTAAGCTTGCTAATGTAGCCAAGTTGATGCAGATGATTTTCCATACTTGAATTTGATATTTGGAGAATGCCTGCAATTTCCCCTGTTGTATAGTGTGGATTGATGTCAATTAGCTCCTTTGCTTCGTCAGTGTGATCTCTTGTGGCTGACCCAAGCTTAATGTATCTTGGACCGAAAAATCTCCAAAACAAAAGTTCACAAACCACTTCTGGCACACACATTCTTTTAAGGCATTCTTGCCATACATTACATATCTTACAGGTTTGCAATGTGTTTTGCCTTTTTTAAAGTTGTGATAATGCATGAAGCACCCCCTATTGCTTCCACTTGACTGAAGGGTCAGCACCACATCGTTGATGCCTACGTCAGGACTGACAACACATCTTTTCCAGAAGATACAGAAACCACTACGACAATTAGTTATTTATTGTTAGGTCATGTGAGTGGTTGCATGCATAGGCGGTCAGACTCAGGATGGAGGAGGTCTACAGACAGTACAATGGAAGGAATTTCACCCACTACAGATTAAACAAAATAAATATCAGTTTATTAATATAGAGGATTATACATTCTAACAAATCCTTTTAATTGCAAGTCATTAAACACAAGAGAGAGAGAGAGAGAGTTTACAATGGTTCATGGGTTGAAAAATACCTTGTTGTAGAGGTCGTTGATTTACATAGGAAGTTTCATAGTCATTGACCGAAGGATCAAGGATTGTTCAGGATCATTTAGGAAGAGTTGTAAATCACATTAATTCATCTTTGGATTGTGAAATGGTAGGTGAGGAAGCGTCCATATGTGAGATTAGTGGAGCATCCATCCATAGGTGGAGTATCTGTAAGTGAAGTAGGTGATATATCTGTATGTGAGGTAGCTGATATTCAGACACAACTAGACTGTTGGAGGAACTGGACACGACACCTCGAATCATCCATTCCATCTTATATTAAAACAGCAAAAATACCTTGGAGAGATCACAAAAGTTGGAGGAAGGTGTCACTTCTAACACTAAGAAAGCATAAGTTGAAACTTTCTCAAATCAGAAAGCTGACATACTGATGAAGTCATCCTGTAATTTGTTTCCTTTTTTCTTTACTTACAAGTTAGTCTAGGTTCTCACAAAATGAAGCATGATATGCCAAAAATCTTTTTGTTTTGTTTTTCCATCTTCAATTGACATATTCTAAACTAAAATACTCTAAACTCAACCAATCTTTACTCTCTTTTTAAAAAAAAAATGAACATTGAAATGTCACCTTTTGTTTCCTTCTTACATAAATGTAAAATATGAAAAAATTATATTTTTCTTTCTCTTCTGACTTTTTGGATAATATATAACTTCAATTTTTAAAACATTAAGCCAATAATGACTATAAAATTTTTCAAAAAAAAGTTAAAGGTATAAAAAGAAAGAAAATAATTTGCAGAGAAAAAACTTTTATTTACATTACAGACAAGCTTCCCAAATGCATTTTGCCAAAGGCCTCTTCAGTGAGGCTTACAGTACACAGTTTACATTCTGACAGTCAACTCATTAAAGAGCCACTTATATGGTTAACAAAAAATTCCCATTGAAATGTCAATTTCAAACAGTTACAAGCTTTCAAAATTTGAACTGAAGTTTGTTGTTTTTTGTAATGTCTACTGCCATCTAACAACAAAAACCATATGGACTTATTTGCTAACCCTATAGTTGTTTTTTTTATATAAATCAAATTCATTTGTTTTTTCAATAATTAGCTATTTATACATATTAGTTACATTAAGTCTAAGCAACTGATTTCACATTAGATGAAAGCTTCATATTCAACAATAAAAACATACTTAAGCAGGTTTCTGAAGACAGTGTCCAAAAAGGAACCACCATTTATTTATCTCATGTAATTTTAATTAGATATTTTCTGTGTTTTTAAGAGGACTTTTTAATTTCTGGTGATCAGTAGCCTAAAAAGAATGCCAGTCACCAAGAAAGTGTGTAGTCTGAAACACAAGATAAATAAATGGTGGTTCCTTTTTGGACAGACTATCTTCAGAAACTTAATAATTGCCATTCAGATGAAAATTTACAAAATGATACTTAAGCAATTAAATTTTTATATAAATAAACTCATTCATGTCTTTGTTTATAATATTTCAGTCTTTATTTTTAATGATTCACAATTTGAAGATAATGCTGCATACATTAATACGTAACTAGATGCACCGAGATTCTTAGTATTCATTTTATATTTTCTGAAAAACAACAGATTTTGAAGAAAATATCTCACCTCTCAGAAATATAAAATAATTTTCAATTTAGAAAAAATTTAATCATTATTAAGGATTATCATAAATTAATAATGTACTATCCAATTTTGATGGATTATATTTGCAGTTAAGAGGAAACAGCTCTTAATTTTTGTTATTAGCAGCTTTTGAGGTTTGCTCAATTTTTTTTTTTTTTTTTGGTTAGGTATTTAGGTATCAAAATGTACTATATTCAATCATTTTAAATAAATGTTCTTTTAAAATATTTTCAATTACAATATTTTAATAAATTTTGATTATTACAGTTAATTACTACAGTAAATAAATTACTTGAAAGATTTAACCTTTATAAATTTTTCTATGGTAAAAATATAATTTTAATTATTTCTTATATGAAATGCTTTCACATTGATCTCATTCAAATCAGATAAAATGTTTTTATATGAAACTGGGATATTACTGCATGACATTCCAACTTTGTAGGATGATTTCATCTCTATTAAATGTTTTTCACTAATAAAAAAAAAGTTTTTTTTCCACCTTTTTTATTAGCAACACTCTACAACATATGTAAGGGTCATTAAATCAGAGTTGACATTTACATATTTTATATTATAAGTACTGAATGAAGTTATTATTAATTTAAATTAGTAACAAATCTTTCTTGAAATTCAACAGGAAACTCTTAGTCACTCATGAAAATATAATGTATGTATTATCATTACTATTCTTTGTATCTTTTGCTTTCTCATTCATTCACAGAAAATTAAGTGCTTATAATTTAAAATTTCAACATTTTAGAATTTTCTTTAATCTGATAAATGATTCTTTTTTGCATTAAGTAATGGCTTAATAGTATGAGATCAACTAGACTATAAACATCATAAATAACTAATCAAAACAGCACACAGCTCTGCAGCTTTAACTGTATTTGGTTCTGAACTATTCCAGAAATTTAATTTTTAAAACATTAATTTTTTTTCATAATAAAGTTACAAGAAAAAATTATTTGATGATATTAAGACTATTTATTTAAAATTAACTCCACTTTGAGCCCTGTTCTTATACTTTAACTTAAGAATTAAAAAATTATAAATACTTATAAACTAATTATTTTCCTAAACTAATTAATATCTTGAAATTATACCAGAATATTACAAATTACAGAAAATAAACATATGCAACTAGTTACTATAAAAAAAAACTTACATTAATTTCTTTACATGCATAACTTTAAACAAATTTTCTTTATTTTTGACTTAGTAAATAATATAAAGTAACAATAAATATGTACTATGTAAAACTGGATTAATTAAGTCCAACACACAAAAATACCAGAAATATCCATTTTTGACATCAGTGTTTTCCAACCAATGAAACTGTTCCATGCATTTACAAGCAAAGTTCAAATTTTCACATTGACGTTCAACTGACTTTAACCTGAGGATGACAATTTAAAAATCATCAAAAATGTTTGTTTTTCTTTATTTTTTTAGTAAGTATAATTTGTGTTGGATATTTCTGGTATTTTTAAGTGCATTAGAAATAATATAAAGTTTTTTTTAGTTTCTATTCTCCTATAAAATTATTATTAAAGTGTTCCTACACAATATTAATTTTTCAGAAAAAATATTTTTGTACCTTTTTGTGGAAGGTTAACATTTTTTTCTTTCTCTGCATCTGGCAATAAAACACCTTTCTTTATCAAATCTTCCTTTGTAGCTCTCATAGATATTTTTCTTTCTAGTGCTAAAAACATAAATTCAAAATCAAATTCTAAAGAAATAAAATTATAAAATTAAATTACAATACATTTTAAAATCAAACACAAATAGAAAAACTAAAAAACCTTGACGAAATAAAAAAAAAAAACAGTAATGTAAATGTGAGAAGCCAAGGATGTAGAACTAAGTCTAAGCCGCTTACGGGCACACAATCGCGAGATTGGCTCACCAAACTTTTTCTAGGAGAGCATAGTTAGTTTAAAACGACCTAGAGGATTAATTCTAGATCTAGTCAGGATTTCTTGACACCAGTTAATCACTTTTATTTTACGCAGATTAACATGCGTATTTATTCGAGAAGGAAATGAGGACTTGTGTTTGATTCAGTTATTGAGGAGATGTTTCTTTAACAAATAAAAACTTTCATTTCATAACATAAAATTTTACTTTATACCTAATTCTATCTCAAACTATAACAGATGTTTGGCTTTTATCCATACAATCAATTATTCCAGGATAGACCTGTAATAAACTATCTATTGAATTAACTAATTTATCGGTTGGTCTATCTTTCACAACTTTATGATCATAAGATTAATTAAATAATAATCAAATTATTATTATGAATATTCTTTAATTATAGATTTGTTGTATTCTTGTGTTTTAACTAAATAGTATTCCTATATTTAGAGGTATAGTATTTTGTTCAAGTACAATATCCAAAGGTTAACAGTACAATTTATTCAACTCTTTATTCCACATATGCATTTCAGGTCAATGTGAACTCACAACCCCTCTTCAGTGCTATAACTAGAATATTTTTCTACATTGTAATTTTTTAATACAAAAAATTATAAATACAAAAGACAATTTACTGACTTACAATTTGTACATATTTATAAGAAAAAACAACCATAGGTGCTATAACTAGAATATTTTTCTACATTACAATTTTTTAATACAAAAAATAACTTAATGACTTACAATTTGTACATATTTATAAAGAAACAATCATTAGGTGAAGATTCAATTTCAGGTATAAGTGCATATCTGGTGTTTTATGCTATTTAACAATTATGAGAGTAACATAATGTTAATTTATTATTTAGATGTCTACTAGGACAGATCATATTATTAGGACTTATTATACTGGTGTCCAAATTCTGAAAAATGAGGAAATGTATTCAGAAAAACAATCTTTATTGTTCATCTTTACACACTGTGTTTCGTACCACTCAGGCCCTCATCAGCAGGTTTACAGTTACTATGTAATTATTTTGGCCTCTAATTACATTGAAATATAAAAATATTAACAAAAAATAATCCGTATCATGTTTCCAAGCATATCCATCACTTTCCTTTGCCTATACAATTATTGTATTGCTAAGTTCATTTCCTTTATAAATGTTTCAGCCTGTTACCCCCATCAATNATACATAAATAAATAATAAAATAAATAAATAAAAATAAATAAATAAATTTTTACCTTAATACATAATCAACAAAAAAAAAACTAGACACAGTTCAATTTTTAACAACTTGTTTAAATTGCCCATAAGTTCTCAGATCCTTATATTCTTCTTTTAAAGCATTCCAGTTATATATAAATTAGTAGATCAGTGCGTCTTGGCCAAAACAGTGCTTAACTTTTGGTAGCACTCAAATTATTTTTCCATTGATAGTTGTAGTTAGAGGGCCTAGAGTGTTTATTTAACTCATCACTTACATAAGATTCTTTCTTGCCAATCTTTATTAGTTTAAAGCTGTCTAAAATAACTTGTTTTTTATATAAAACTTTTAATTTGTCGAAACTGGTCTGGTTATAATAAGAGGTGATAGAAGAATTGTAAGGTATTGAATAACTTGTATAATGTTCTAATAAAGTTGTTTTGTGTGACTTGCAACCTATTCAATACAAAAGAAGAAGCTGTACACCATATGGAAATACCATATCAAAGTTTGGATTCCATACAAGCGTGATATAAACACAAAACAGTCAAAATTTATGTAATTCATTATTCTTTTCAATATTCCAATAAATCTAGATAAAGACAGTGTTAGATTATTTATATGATTGTTCCATTGTAATTCATCATCAATTTCAATACCTAAATATTTTACAGTATTAACTCTTTGAATACATTTATTATTAATTCTTTCTTGTGTATCATCTAAATTGACTTTTTTGTTTTTTATTTGACAAACAAATATATTTTGTTTCATTCTCATTTATTCTAAAGTTATTATTTGCCATATATTTACTTAATTTAGCCAGCAATGAATTTGTATTATTTTCAATTAATTGAAGATTTCAATCTGCATAAGTTATAACAATATCATCTGCATACAATATATTATTTTCAGGAATAGTTTCTATAATATCATTTATGTAAGTATCAAAAAGTAAAGGGCCTAGAATGGATCCATGTGTGACACCTTTATTCACTTGAAAAGGTTTAGATATTGAATTTTTTACCTTAATGTAGTACATACTATTTGATAAATAAGATATCAACCACTCCAATGGCACTTCTCTTTTGTTTTAATATCTTGATATCTACGCTATCAAAAGCCTTAGTCAGGTCAATAAACACTGCTGTTACTATATTTGAATTATCAAGACCATCAATAATATATTGTTTAAAATGAGTTAATGCATCAATTGTAGAGACCTCTTTTTTAATACCATACTGGTTATTAGATATATTATACTATATTTACAAAAAATCTTTTATAGAAAGCCATTTCAATTATTTTAGTTATACTCTGAATGATAGTAATCAGACGATAGCTCTCCAAGTCCTGTTTAGATCCTTTATTTTTAAATATTGTATTACAAGATTGTGTTTGTTCTTCTCTGAAAACCACCCACACTCAAAGGATTTATTAATTAAATAAGATAATGGTAATGCAATAATATCTGATATTTGTCTTAGAATAAGTATATTTAACTTATCAATGTCCAAAGTATTAGTTTTTACACTCATAATATAATCAAAAATCTCTAGGAGAAGTTTCATCCAAAACAAAACAATCAACCATACAAGCATGAAGAGGAATGTGAGAAAGAATTAGTTTTTAACATTGATGTGACAAAACCTCCCATCTGTCTATAGTGATCAGTAAAAATATTACCTATTTTTCTATTATTATTAATTATATTCACAATTAAAATATTATCATTACATCACTCACATTATATTCATTTCTTAATCTCAAGAGGATTGTTAAATATTACATCTCATAAAATTTAATATTTTTTCGTATATTAATTTCCTATATTCCTTGGTTTATTTAATCTAAACAATTATAATCCTTAAAACTAATAACTTCATATTAAAACTTAGGTGATTAGGAGAATAACCATCCAGCCATCATTTTAATGTAGTCATGAACAATTTAAAAAAAAATTCTTATACAAACTTTCCACATCTGACATGGATGAGAAAGAAATAAGCTTTATGATAAAAAAATCAAATTATGGTTTTGTTAATTACTTCTAATAATAATCCAGTGTCCAGAGTGCAATGAAATACTATCCCAAGAAGCTGTCTAATTTACATATTATCACAAAACATTCAAATGAAAAGGATAAGTCTTTAAAAATTTTTCAAAGGAAATTAACAACTATCTATATCAACAAAACATTATTATTCAGATATCCAGTATAAATGAAAAAGTATTGCTAGCAAGTTACAAAGCTACATTTCATCTTTAAAAGGAAGCAAGCAGCATACAATTGCTGAAAGTCTGATTTTATCAGCAGATGTCAGTACAATGAAAATTATAGTAGTGGAAAAAGAACTTCAAAAAATTCAAGAATTTGTTAATCTAAAGAATACAACAGAAAATCTGATATGACATAATACTCACAAACAAATTTTAGATAAAATTAGAAAAAGCATACACTTATATTTGCAATTTTAAATTCTACAAATATTTCTAGTTGTGTAAAATTTGCATGCTTCCAAGTATATAATACAGAAGCATTGTCAAAGAAAATATTTTATTTTATAAATCACTAGAAACTAACACAACTGGAAAGTGTTTATTCAAAATGTTTATGCAAAATACAATAGTCTATAGATTGGACAAAATGTACTGTCATAAACTCTGATGGGTTTTCAAAGTGGTCTTATTGCAAGATTAAAAATTACAATGCGAAATGGATATACTATTTCCTATATCACCATGTTATTGCAAGCAAATCTTTACTCTTTGAACTGGAGTTTATTTTGCAGACTAAAAATAGTAAATTCCATCAAAAGAAGTGTAGCAAATTCATTTTTTTTTACACAATTTGTAAAGATAAAGGTTCATTACATGAAAATCTTTATTGTACAGAGGTTAGGTAGCTTTCAAGAGCAAAGATACTGATAAGTTTCCAAAAATAGAACAGAACTTCTGATAGATACATCTGTAAGAGGGAAAAATTTAATTATGCTGAATTCTTTTGCAACAATGTTTGGCTTGAAACTAGCATATCTTTGTGACATTGTTAGTCACTTAAAATATTTTGAACAGTTTACAAGTTTACAATGCTAGTACTGTTATAAAATTAATGGATTCATAAAAAAATTACCTTTTACCTTTACTACATTAAAGGAAAAGAAATTCAATTAATTTCTTTGTATTCAACAAATAATGGAAGAATATCTATAAATGCCACAGTGAATGTTAAACTATAATTTTGGAGAAACAAGTATGTTTCCATTTTCTGAAAGAAACTCAAATTAGCTTCAATAATTACAGATTTGAAATAAATTTTTTTTTTTTTTTTTGAAGAAAAATCTGTTAATGAGACCACAATAGAAATAAATATTAAAGGTCAAACTTTTTTTTTTGCAAAAGTTTGATCAATTGTGGTTGAAAAGAAGAAAAATAATCTAAAGTTACAAATGAAGCTTTAAAAATGTTGGTAACACTTGTATCATCATATAATTAAATGTGAATTAACTCTTCTGTAATTGTAATAAAAATGAAACACAGATGACTTCATCTTGAAAATGAGCTCTGTATATGTAA